TAATGCTTTGAATTTGGACTGTGTTTTTCAAAAGCTTATTGAATAATGAGCCTGATTGTTTTTTTGTTGTACTCTGTGAACTTGAGCTCTAGGCAGCAGTTGGTGCATTTAGTAAATCAGGTCCATTGAGTTGCTGAATCCTAGCCGAGATTTCATCTTCAGGTGAAGAGCAATGTACCGTCATTATACTGTTAAAATAATTTTATAAAGGGAGCAATCTATCTATACATCGACATACATCTGAATATACAGCAGTGACAAAGGAATCAGAATTATTTGCATCTGTTCTGTATTCAGTGATCACACTGCCCACTTCCTCTGCTATTGTAAATGGCAAATTTAAAAAAAAAAATTACCTAACTTTTTAATACCTACTTAAATACACCATCCAGCTAGGTGATCTGAGATCATGGCCAAACTCACACAATATACATATATTCTTTGTAGTTACATCTTTCTCATTGGTTTTCTCTAAAGCCAAAATGGAAGAAAATTACCCCATTAGGGTGGATCCAAGGTCAGTATTTCAGCCTTTAGGTTGCTGTTGCTGCTGAAATCCTGATTGGAAAAAAAAACAGTAAATGATAGATCCGTGGGGCAGGCATTCCATCACCTGTGAGATAAGAAATGCATAAAGGGAACTCCAGAGACAGTGAGTTCTGCCAGGCTGATAAGGAGGCAAGACAGTCTCTTTTGAGCTCCACAAATGTTCCTTTTTTTCTTTTTTTTTTTTCTTTATACTGCTCCCACTGTAAGCAATGCCATTCATTGCCCTAAAAAAAGGAATATTTATCTTCTGATAAGATAAATATTTTTTTATCTAGGCAATCATTTTCCATAGAGTTAATTTTCAAGAGGAAACAGTATTGTAAGAACTTGTTTTTTGAGGAAGATCCAATCTCCACAAATTCCCATGCCGCCTAACAACAGCTAGATGCCTGAACCAAAAATGACTTTTAAATTATTTGTTAAAATAAGCCAAGCTGTTTACGCTACCCAAGGGGGATATGGAAGAGCTGTATTGGTCAGACGTCTCAGGCTATTATGCAAGTTAACAAATCTCTGGCCTCTCTATAATTAACACATTAATATTCATTGTGATGGTATAGTGGAGGGTGTGTAATAAAGCACCAATCGCAAGAACATTTCTGTCTCCTGTGGGAGATGTTAATGGCCATTGACATGACACAACAATAATTAGTAGGGTTCCACTCAATTTTAGTTTGTCTTCAGCCTTCTTAAGGCAGTGCATATGTGGAAGTTTCAGAAACTATTTTGTTCATGTTAAAATAGGTCTAGTTCCTAAAGATCACCTAAGAGATCTGTTCAGGTGGAAGGATTCTGCTCTAAATTATTGCTGGAAAGTATCCTACTTTATAACATACCTTTCCTACATCACACATGCAGAATAATTCCTGGTTATCCACGGGTAACAGAAGTCCTTAAAGCTGCTATTAAAATTACATTAAAATTAAATTAAAAATATGTTGCACACTTCTGTACTGGTTTTGGCTGGCATAGAGTTAAATTTCTTCATAGTAGCAAGTATGGGGCTATGATTTGGATCTGTGAATGAAAACAGTGTTGATAACTCAGGGATGTTTTCATTACTGCTGAGCAGGGCTTAGACAGTGTCCAGGGCTTTTCTGCCTCTCACCCCATCCCACCAGTGAGTGGGCTGGGGATGCACAAGGAGTTGGCAGGCGACACAGATGGGACAGCTGACCCCAACTGACCAGAGGGATATCCCAGACCATATCACATCCCTTTTTATTTCCCACACCCATCCTTTTATTAATTGTGAAACTGTCTTTACCTCAACCCATGAGTTTTCTCACTTTTACCCTTCCAATTCTCTTCCCCCATCCCACTGGGTGCAGGGCTGAGCAGGCGGCTGTGTGGAGCTGAGCTGCAGGCTGGGGTTAAACCACAACACCTTCGTAAGATCTTTAGCTTAGGACTAGCAAATCAAAGGATTATGATGTGAGATACTCTTGACTTTTTTTAGTCACGTGCCATTTTATGCCTTTGAGCAGCAATACCTCTCTCTAATATTACTATAGCACCACATCTTTCTTTAATTATAAATACTACTAGGACTATTAGTCATGGAGGTATAGCATTCTAATGGGAGATGGATAACTGGCTGTTTAGACTGCAAATGTAAAACATGTCCTGAGATTGAGGATCAACAGCAGCTGGGCTAGCACAATAATTATAGAAAAATTTCAAGTCATTTGAGAAATCTAACTTGAAAACACAGAGAAGGAAGTTCTTTACAGTTACATATGCGTGTCCTAGGAAGCCATCTCTAGCCCCTAAACCAGGAGTTTTCATGTGGCTCACCTCAAAGCTAGCCCTTGTAGCGTTAGCTTACCTGGCAACATTATTATAGCATATGATATCCCATAACCCTTGGCAGTATGTCATTACTTGTTCACCTATCTAGTGTAACAACACCACTTTAAATGCCCACAGTAACTCCAAGAGTCAAAATCTGTTCTGCTGCAAGCTGTCACCTCCCTTACACTCAAGATCCCAAGTGTTTTGTCTTCTACCATCCCTAGGAAGGAGCTTTTCAACCCATTGCGCCACCTGTAGCCTCAGAGGGAAGATGTGCAGTGAGTCATACAAGACCCCAAACATAACAGGAGAGTGCACCTTGCTTTGAGACTGTGTGTTTATTGTGAACAAAGTAGTATTGTAATGGAAAGCTATGTCAACTGAACAAAATGATAAAGCACTTCTCTGGTTCTATGTGCAACATCATTAAGAAAAAGGCCTTATTAGCCAAATACTAAAAAGAAAGGCTTACTCAGCACCAACACAGCCTCTGTCACAGTTCTGTGACAATGACCATCCTATTTCAGAGGTGGGTGGCCTGAGCCTTCCTGAAAGCATAAGCAGTGGAAATGAAGGCGATCCAGGTAGCAGGGAGAAAGAGGAGCAACAGCCATCACAAATGCTCTGTGTGCAAGAGATTTAACAGCCCCTTTGTGAGCTTTTTCAGGTTTCCCTCCTGATCTGCTGCCTTCTGCTTCCAGAACACCTTTTGCTCTGCCTAGATGGCCAGTTCTCCTGATGGTGGACTAGAGCCTTGACTGTATTTTTCTTATCCAGAACGTTTAAGACATGGTCAGAAAATACTACCTTCTCACTGCTGTCTCAGGATCTGGCCACTCATGGCACGACTGAGGTTTATCACTCAGGTGATTCAGTGATAAGAAGAAAAAAAAAAAAAAAGGCATGTTATTCCTTGAGAGGGACACAGTGCAGTGTGTTATTGCCTTTACCTGTTCTTCTCATACACACCTGCATGCCAAGGACTTTGCAACTTCAAATGAAGAGCTCTGGACTAGTTTCCTCCCTTTGCAGACCCTCTGGAGAGAAGCGCTGGGTGGGATGGCCCACCAGCTGGCAGCCAGAGCTGCCAGACTTGAGGTGAGAAAGCTGTGAAATAACATTATCCCTACTGACCTATGTAGTCCTGCAGCAGCTTTTTGCAGAGGGAAGTGGAATGAAAGCAGCGAGTGAATGGGAGGAAGAGCTGGCCTGCATGTCCTTGTGAGGACGACTGCATTGGTGCTTCTCACCTCTAGTCTTTCTGAGCTGCATCGAAACGGGGTAGCTGGTAATGCATCAGATGCCACTGGGAAAGCGATGACTTTAGGAAACAGACAAAATGCCACCCCCGTGTGACAGGAGTGGTTTGGCATGGTTTGCTGTTGGAACAACTGGTTATTATGGACTGTCCCTCCAATGTGCAATTATTTAAGGTATCTCCCTCAGAAGTGTGACTCCATGAATGGTCTGTGCTTCTCTCTCCCCTCGAGCTGGTGAAAGGAAAACCCGATACTCTCCAGAACTGGTTTCAGACCCTCTTCCCAAGGACTCAGCTAATAACTCCAGTAGACCTTGTGGTAAAGAGTGATGTGGAGGAATGATGTGGCCCTGAAAGGGGGGCTCTCAGCCAGGTCTTCCTCTTCACCCCACAAGAGAAAGTAATTTAGATGACTAAAGCAGAAGACAGGCTACCATTCACACACAGGCGTGCAATGCATCTGACTTGAGATGCAGGGGACAGAGAGAACTGGAGACTTGATGATGACCTTGCCATCAAATGTCTGTTGTACCTTTGCACAGCAGGGACACAACTCTTCTTAGCATAAAGTGTTTATGACCAATACAACATAGGTTGCTATGTTGCTGGTAGCCAACCTGATTTTCTAGAGTTGGAAAAATTCTGGGAGAAAAGTAATGTCTTCTGCACATTTTCATTATTATAGCTAGCTATTACTAGGACTACTTCTGTGAATGATACATTATTTTGATATAAATATGCTGTTTTCCTGAAAAGCAGAAAGTAAACCTGAATCTTACACAGAGTGAGCATTGCTGGCATCATCTGGTTTTGCAGTGCAGGAGGGAATCCTACTTTCAGCATTTCAGTTCTTCCCTGATCAGTCCTATGCGCTACATTACATGCTAGATGATTTGAGTCAGGGAATATGGTTCTTCTTAAAGTTCTTAAACTTCTTACATTTTTTTGTTTCATTCTGTATTGCAATTCCTAATTTTTGTGAAACGTTCTTTGGAGAACTGTAAAATCAGACTGGAAGCCAAATTACATGAGAAAGAAGAAAAGACAGCACCAGAATTATCTTTATTCTGTCTAAAACTATTTTTTCAACCTCTGTTTCAATTTCCTTTACATGTATGTTACTACAGTCCTTAGTTTGTATTACAATTGTAGTACAATTGCACAGTCATAAAACAGATTATGGTACAGAATCTTCCAGAAGAAAAATTGGAAAAGTATTTCTAATGTAAGATGCAAGCATTTCTTAAATCAATTCCCTAAAGCACAACTTTTGTTGGATATTCTTTTTGTAAACACGCCATTCCCATCCTTGCTGCTCTGCTGCTAATAATGGTTGGAAAGAAAGTGCAACCTAAAATATTATTGTTTTTAAAGCTTTCTCTACTTCGTTTTCTCCTACTTACAGTAGGGTTGGTCCACTGTGCACTCCCAAAAATGCATCGTCATTGATAGCTTCCAGGTATTTGTTCTTGTGCAGATAGCTGCAGAAACAAAAGAAACACAGTGATTTGGAAATAGTTATCCATAGGTTAAAAAAGATCTTCAGTTTACTTGCCTGAACAGATTTACAAAAGCAATAGGCATAAGGGCCATCCTATCCCAACAGCATATTCAAGCATAATCAGTTACTTCATTTTCTGTGTATCCAAGGAACAAAATACAGGTCTGACATTTTGAAGATAAATTAAATTCCTCAACAAATAATAAAAAAATAAATTAGCAAAATCAATTATCTTTGCTCCAAATTCCTTTTCTGTCTCTGTCATACATGTGAAGACAAATGCATACATGCTGTATCTTCAGGTACATGTGTGAGGATGAGGTGAAATAGATTGGTTTGCTTTCACCAGAATGAGGTATGGGGAATTACATGATACTTACAGGAACATATCATGAACAAACATGAAAATAATTCCCTCTTTGTTTTGAGTTTGATAATAAAAGTTTTTAATGCTTTAAAATCTCCATAGCCAAGTGGAGGCTCCCATATACAAGCCAACAGTAAAAGAATGAAGTTTTGTTATAAGAAGAACAAGAGAGGGAGTGAGAAGGAGGATAAATTTGAACGAAAAAATAATGTAAAACTTATGTCAAAAAAAAAATAATTCTAAAGTCTTGTGAAAACTGTGAACAATTTCCTGAGTAGCCAACATGTTCCTGAAATATGGAATGCTCCAAATTTCTCCTGTCATTACATGATTGATGTAATCAAGGACCAACATTAATTTCCATCACTCTGGAAACTGACATATAGGAAAGTGTGGTTTCAGGAAGTAGGGAATTTACAGAGTTGTGTTAAAGGTGTGTGATTAAAGACAGGCAATGCAAGGCTACTGACCACTCAAAAAATTAACATAACCCAAGAGGAACAATCAATCTTAAATTCAGTTCTGTGGTTTTAGATTTAAAAGTGACTGATCTAGAGTTAATCTTGAGGGTTCTTTAAGATCAATTCTGGTTACCATGGTCTGAAACTGTCGCTTGAGAAAAACTTATAAATACATGGATTATTATTGCCAGAATTTCAGTCAAGTTCCAAATTGCTTTAGAGAGGTTATGCATTTCTGTCTGAGATTTCTGTTCTCGATGGCCTAACAGAATTCATGTGTTTTGTGGAAAGACTTGGGAGAAATAATTGTCTTCAGTAGTTCCACAATCACAGGTATAAAAAGAGAAAGCATAAATTAAAAAACCTGCAGGAGCAGCAGAAGCACAGGCATCCTGCTCTTCTGCCAGAGTCACAGTGGACATGTGGCACTGAGCACATTTTATGACAATCTGTGAAGAGCAGATACACACAGAACTGAAATGGAAAAATAAGCGTTATTTTTATGCATACGGTGCCAGCGTGGTTGTATTAGTTTGGTATACTTGACATAGAGTTAGATTAAAATTGTGGGTTTAGAACAATTGTCCAACTAAAAAGTACTTCACAAAACACGACAGGCATGTTGATTTTCTTGATGGAAAATTGTGGTTCCTACTGGTTAGCCAGGAGGGAGAACTGCAGTTATAAGCAGCTAGATCTCCTAAACACACAAACAGGAATGGGCTGAATTAGCTAAGCCATGAAAAAAGACTGAAGAATAGGTTGCGATATATACTTATGTACGTGTGTGTGTATATATACACACACACACACATACATACATGTGGATACTACTGTGATAATTCTTTCTCTAAGCCAGCAATTAAAACCTAGGTGGTGTTTTTACTTAGTTAAATTAAATTCTGTCACAATGTTTACAAGAGAAACAGCTTGCAGGCATCAAAGCTAGTCATGCTTTTTAACTTAATTTAGATGGAAATTGAAATCTTTTGATGAGATTAAGAATCATTTACCAAATATAGCAGTCCCTGGAGGAGGATGGAGGAGCATCTAGCTCTCTTGGCTGAGGGGCACTACATCAAGAAGACAAAACAGTCCAAGCTATTTGTTTCTGTACTATGATGAGAAATTACCTCTGAGAGAAGTTTGAACCCAGGCAGCAAAGTGGATGATACAGCTGCAAGACTGTGCTTTGGAGCAGAAGTGTAATGCAACCCATTAAGGAGGACAGCACAAAAAATTGCCAGGGAAAGTTGTCAAGGGGAATGTGTGCTCTCCTTGATGAAATGATGGCAAAATGATCAATGCTATAAAGGCCCTGAAGGACCACAGTGCCTAGGCAGAAGAGAGCCATAGCACCTGCAACTACCCTGTTCACAAATTTGATCAATGTTCTGTCTAGTGGAGAAGGTAAAGTCTAATGGCTCCAGTAGCAAACCACAGATTAAAGCATGAGGCTGCAGTCTAGGAGCAACAACAGAGTCTGCAGACCATAATATTATAGGTAGTGCAGGTCCAGCAGAAACAGGAAGAGGAACTAACACTGACCTAAGTATGACAACAGTGGGTGACCCAGGCCCAACAACTACAAGCATCAGGATTGCTTGAGATTTCACCAAAGGGCGCAGAAAAAGAAGACGAGTGCAGATGATAACCGTACAGCACTGCTCAAGAGAAGATGATGTGGTCCTCGGTCCAACTGAAGGATGGACACTTTGCAAGCATTGCAGACAGACTGCCTTATCGAAGTTATGTTTCACAGGGTAGATAAAAGCAGAGAAAATTCCCAATGATGAGAGCAGCAGCAAAAGAAAGAAATGGGAGAAAACCCAACAATATTGCCCACGTGAAGCCAAGTGACATTGCTCAGAATTTAAACATAATTGTCTTAAAAAGAGGGATTTCATAAAATTTCAGTGCGGTTGGCACAGAAATTGTAAGATGCCCAGTGTAGACCTATTAAAGAAATTAAATTAAATTAAGGGAGAAAGAATTTGATACTAGTGATGCAGGCAGTAATACCTCAAGCAGAAAGGGATGCTTGGTACTGTAACTGTTATAAACATTTTAAAGCTAGTTGTGATGTAGCTAGGAAGGCAAAAAATACAATGGAAAGGTTGTCACAACAGATTTCAGAGGGTGTCTGTGAAGTTGCTGTGAGCTCTGCCCATTGTGTCAGTTAGTGGCAAAGACACAAAGGTCAAACCTTTCCTAATTTTAAGTTCTGTAACAAAAACACCATTGAGATGGTGGCTATGGAGATAATTGAATTGACTCAGAACAGGGCAAAAGGCCACCGTTTTAACTTTGTGCTGGAAGAGTCTTTCAAATTCAGATAGCTGAACTGGGGTTTAGCTGTAAGAATAATAAAAGTCAGAGCAACTGTTTCTTGATCTGGAAAAGATCAAGTAAAGATTCTAATCCTGTCCTGGTTGAAGTCATTAGCAAATTTTCCATAACTTACACTGAGTAGAAGTTTGTATTGATCACCATAGTGAGAAATGATAAATAAATGCACTTCAGCTTGGTTACACAACAGAAAGTCTTAGGGAGCCAAGCCAGAGTAACACTTTTGGCATGTTATTCATTGGGCATTACTCACATCTAAAGCCTTGTTTCTTACAGAGGAAAATAGCTTACTTCATCTTCTCAGCTATTGTTGTTTGAAATAAACCTTCATTCTTTAGAAATATATGGGATTCTAGTATCACCTGACATTTGTGTTTTCTGAGAACTGACTTTCATAGTCTGTAAATGACAACCTAGTCACTTTTGTTGTGAGGTTTTGCTTCAGTTTGCAAGTGTCCTCATGATTTTGTCTGCAAATCTAATACAAAAATTAAAACCAGAGCAACAGCTAAGAATTAATCCAAGATTTCACATCTAGGTTGTAGTTCTGAAGGACACAAAAACCTGCCTGACCTCATAAAACCCGACTCTTTTAGTAACTAGATGTTATTATACAACCAGATAATTGCTTGTCCAATTTTGAAATGTTTTCTCCTGATACTTGAACACCGTAAAGACTTATAAACTCAAAATATAATAGTTCACATACATGACAAAAATCTTCAAACTTACAAACATAAACAGTCAGCTAGAGACTTTCAGGAAGTTCATAACCATGTGTTACCAAGGAGGGGCTGCAGTGTTAGCTGCCAGTTTTCACATAGATGAGTCAGGCCTGTCAGGTACCTCTTTTAAATGGAAAGAATAAGACTTTGGTAAATAATAATTTGTCAAAAAAAGTTTATGTATAGCCAGTATAGCTCCTTCTGAGAGTGCCTTTAATCCTGTTGTAACTGATAGCTAAATGGTATAGAATGTCATTTAAATACACTGCAGAAAAGAAACCACAACAGTAGTACACACATGTCTAAACAAATGTTGGAAATCTTAAAAATCACATGGGTGAAGTGGAATATCTATCCTCAGGGGGACACTAGAATCATAGTAATTTTGGAAAGTTGGTGGAAAGCAGTCAGATAGACATGACTACCACAGTGCAAACTATGCAGGGAGTCTGGTATAGTAAATGCTGAACCTGGAGCAGGATATGCTGATAGTTTCACAGTGCTATAAGAAGACAGAAGGCTTCCTTTTTTTTTCTTTTCTTTTTTTTAATCAAATCGGATCAGTAAGCTAACTATGACGGTGACTAATACAGAGTCTCTATGGACTCAAGGTCCAGAGGTAAGTGGGAAAAACATTGCATTAAGTCTCAGCCCCACCAGAAAACATGACTGCAGTACGCTGAGCAGGATTTTCTGAGGACACGAAACAGTAATAGGGCAATTCAATTATTGTACAACAGGACAACGTCATGTCAGGGCATGACAGAGATACTGAGTATTCAGACATTATCAGTGCATGCTTCATAAAGCAACAGGTTAGAGAGTCCACATGAGGAAAAGTAACTTTTGATTTCAGGTTGAGTGCCACACATGCTCTGTTTCAAAATGTTACAGTCTAAAGTCTTGTAAGAGCAACCACCAGGCACTGATACTCAGCAACCTTGTAGTACCAAAAAAGCCAAAGAGTACACCACACCTGTAGTCTCCAAACAGGAGAAATACAAATAGATGAGAAAACTTCCTTAAAAATAAAGAAAAGTATGAAAGTTAAATTATTGAGGGCATTCTGGGAGCTCTTTAGTGACACCATTTTGGAGATACAGAGCTAACATGAAAAGCAAGAGATAGCAAAAGAAAAACAAAATCCTGAATATTAAAAATATTCAAAATCTTCAACTGAAATAAAAAATTTAAAATGCTGAAAAGTCTGAAAATATTTTTACAAAATATTTTATTTTTACCAAAAGTGTATTTTTTTCTGGGAGTAAAGAATATGAATGAAAAATGCTGACCAGCTAATTCAACTAACTGACATAAAGTTCCACATACCTTTTTTTCTTCAGTGTAAAGGATTTTTATTTCTTGTCTTCCACAGTCCAAGGTCATTCATGTCATCCCCCATATTGTAGCTGGACAGGCCTTTCTCAAAGGTTATTTTAAGCTGGATTAGTTCACTAATAAGGTTTTACTACAGTCCCACAACCAATTTTATCAGCACAGGGAATGATGGAATAAGAATGAACATCCAGATTAGGGAAAAAGGGAGGTTTTGCAAAATTTTCTTCCAAAGGATCATGTAGTTAAAAACCAAGTTACTGAAATTCCTAGTTGTAATACCTCACTGGCTTATGGAGTTACGTATTATTTTATGGAATCTGCTTGCTTTCTTTCAGCTTCTGATTTTAAAATAAGACAGAAGAGCTTAACAAACAAGGAGAAAAATAATATGTTGGTCACACACATTTAAGTATCATCACTATAGTATTAAATGGTCTCTGGCACATAACATGTTAATGTATCTATGCATCCTGTTGGATTATGAAATGAACGGTAAAGAAAGGGAGAACAGGCAGAAGAGATGAATTGGTAAATAAGCAGTATTAAGGTTTCATCATATGTTTTTTTCTACACCATTGTTTACCTTGACTCTGAGCTGAGCCAAGCATTTTAAGTGTATACCAAAGTAAATACATTCTTTTGGAGTTTATTTTTGTAATTAGATTTTGAGATCACACCCTTTCCATTTCAGTAATTTAGACATCTCTGTAAAAGCTCATCACAAATACATTTTGCCATTCACTGGAAATATATTTTTTAAAAAACCTTCTTTCCTCACCAATTTCCTTACAGAAATAAACATTGGCACAGGAGCACCACTCTGCAGAAGTCTGCAGGAGTGGTGCAGTTCATGGACCGTAATGATGTGTTAGAACGAGGGATTCAAGTTTCAGATGAACACTGTTCAGTAAAAGTGTCATTTGGACCTTCATTCCTTGTTCTTTACTCCCCTGCCTTTATAAAACATATACAGCGATACTGTGGTTTGCTGTAAAACACAGATCCTTGTTGGATGAGAAGATTTATTAGGTAGTGCCATTATTTAGTACGATATTGGAAATCATTTATGCACAGTTCCACACCTATATCTGCATTGATTGTTTTGACCTTCTTGAATTACATAGGTCTTTTGATACAACAAGAGTGGTAGAAAGGCACACTGCATGGTAGAAGACAGCCTCTGAGATTCCCAAAATGTCTTCTGATTTATGGACGAAACATAAGTGTCTTTGAACGATTTGTCAAAAAAGAATTATTGGGTTTGATTGTTTTCCTCCTTCACGTCACCATTCACAGAATCACAGAATGTTAGTGGTTGGAAGGGACCTCAAAAGATCATCTAGTCCAACCCCCCTGCCAGAGCAGGACCACCTAGAGTAGATCACACAGGAATGTGTCCAAGTGGGTTTTGAATGTCTCCAGAGAAGGAGACTCCACCACCTCTCTGGGCAGCCTGTTCCAGTGCTCTGCCACCCTCCCAGTGAAAAAATTTTTCCTTATGTTAATGTGAAACCTCCTGTGCTCCAGCTTGCACCCACTGCCCCTTGTCCTGTCATTGGCCATCACTGAGAAGAGCCCAGCGCCATCCTCCTGACACTCTCCCTTTACCTATTTATAAACATTGATGAGGTCACCCCTCAGTCTCCTCTTCTCCAAGCTAAAGACCCAGCTCCCTCAGCCTTTCATCCTAAGGGAGATGTTCCACCCCCTTAATCATCTCTGTGGCTCTGCACTGGACTCTTTCCAGCAGTTCCCTGTCCTTCTTGAACTGAGGGGCCCAGAACTGGATACACTATTCCAGATGTGGTCTCACCAGGGCAGAGCAGAGGGGGAGGAGAACCTCCCCCCTTCAAAACCCATTAAAATTTCTTTACTCAGTTTTTCTGTTAGTTTCTTTTTGCTCCTAGTTTCATCAGGTCCAAAGGACCTTGGATCAGACACGGAGGAAAACAGGTACTTTCTTCGCTGTACAGAGGTAGATAAATAGGAGTTCAAATTACAAATGTCAGAATACAGAAAATGAAATATCTGCCTTTTGCATTAACTTCATGCAGCTGCTAGAAACAACAAATCTCCAAGCTTGCACTTAGGATAATTATACCTTATCTTGGCATATGGTAACCAAACCACTTCAGAAAATCAGTTTAGAAATTTCCGTGTAGTTTATGAAACAGATAAAGGCTTTACCACTGATGTTCAGCTCCCTGGTTTGCCTTGTATAGTAGTGCTTTGCTCCCAAGTAAATGTCATATGATTTAATTAGAAGAAAACTGTTTGTTGTAATAAACCATTTTTACTGCTGGTAGATAAAGCCCTGAAAGTAAGCCTGGTTTTAGTTCTGGTTTTGGTTGGTTTGTTTTTGTTGTTTTGTTTTTGTTTTTAATTTGCTTAACTAGTGCATCATAGCCAGTCTCTGAAAAGATTCACTTAGAATCACAGAATGTCTCAGATTGGAAGGGGCTCATAAGGATCACCAAGTCCAATTCCTTGCTCCTCACAGGACTACCTAAAACTAAACCATATGACTGAAAGCATTGAACTCTGACAGACTTGCTTCCCTGACCACTTCCCTGGGGACCCTGTCCTACTGACCGTCCATCCTCTCAGTGAAGAACCTTTTCCTAATGTCCAATCTGAACCTCCCCTGACACAGCTTCATCCCATTTCCTTGTGTCCTATCACTATCACCAGAGAGAGGAGATCAGCACCTCCCCCTCCTCTGCCCCCCTCAAGGAAGTTGTAAACTACCATGAGATCACCCCTCAGTCTTCTCGTCTCCAAGCTGAACAAGCCAAGTGACTTCAGCTGCTCCTCATAAGCCTTGCCCTCGAGACCTTCACCATTTTGGTCACCATCCTCTGGACACACTCTAATATTTTGATCTCCTTCCTGTATAGAGGCACCTAAAACTGCTCACAGTACTCGAGGTGGGGCTGCACCACCGCAGTGCAAGGTTGGACCATCACCTCCCTTGACTGGCTAGCTATGCTGTGCTGGATGGACCCCAGGACATGGTTGGCCTTTTTCACTGCCAGGGCACACTGTTGACTCATATTCAGCTTGCCATCAACCCAGAACCCCAGATCTCTTTCCATGGGGCTGCTCTCCAGCCTCTTGTCCCCTATTTTGTACATATAACCAGAATTACCCTGTCCCATGTGGAAAATCCAGCACTTGCTCTTGTTACATTTGATAGGGTTGGTGATTGCCCAGCTCTTGAGTTTATTCAGATCTCCCTGTAAGGCCCTCTACCCTCAAGGCCCTAGAGAATATAGAAATAGCCTCAAAGAATACTAATTACAAACTCTTTATTAAAAGTAAGCCAGCAGTATTTGCAGAACCTAGTATGTGGTTTCTGCTTTTCTACTTCCACCCAGTCCAATAAAGCAGATGTGTAGGACTCCAGATCTTCTAAAACTACATTTTCACTTGATGATAATAAGGAATATTCCAAAGAGGCCAGAAGCAAGAGCACTCACACACTATCAGAGAAGCAAAAAGAATAATTCCTACAAAATCATCCCCAACTTGTGTTTTGTCAATATGTAAGAAGTGGAAGAGCCAATACAGTTCATATATTGTCTAAGGCTTAGAAAGGTTTTAAATATTGCATATACAGCTTAGAGATTCAGTCAAGACACTGGATTAATTTTGCTGTATTTTACATCTTCCTATTTCTGTGGGCACTAGTACAAACACTATATCATGATGAAAAACTTCCTCTCTCATATGAAAGTTCAAAGTTACTGAACTAACATGAGTGAAATAAGACCTATCCCAGATCTTCAGTTTAACTCAAACCTTTCAAAATTTAAGAAGCCTAGATAGCTGCTGGGGAAAAAGAGGCAGTTTGGAAAGATTAAGACCATGTGAAAGATGCTTTTACAGAATTCTTACAGAATTCAAGCCCAGTTTAAAATAAGTACTGAAAATAATTATATCTATCCTCATGCCTCTCTGGTTAATTTAAGAGCTCACAATGAAGAAATCGCGTAACTCATGAGATCATCAGCTAGACTCTTCAGCCAAGCCTCTGTAGGACCATGGTAAGCTCTGCCAAATTGAATGGAGCCTCTGGAATTGAGATTTGTTCTGCGTTAATGACTGAGGTAGATGATGTTTGGTATGGTGTAAAAAGGATATTCACTCATTAAGTATTAGTTTTCCAGAAACTAGAATAAGAAGCTGAAGGGAAAGCTGAATTTGTTGCTTCATACTTTTGAGAGGCCCATCTCTCATTTCTAGTGCAAGTGACTGTTTCCTCTGATTTGCTTCCAACACCTTATACCATTCTGCTTTGCAGATAAGAGATTTCTGTGAAAGGTCTGCTACCTTTATCACTGCTACACTTACTAAAATAAACTGTCTTGTAAGTAAAACAGCATAATTATCTTCCAAATCATCTTAGAAATGTTACTGATCAAAAGAAATTTTATTGTAGCTTCAGACTAGAACAAAATTCACGCTGGAATTACCTGCCATGATTTTATTTCTGAGTTATAAATATACATGCCAAATGAATGCAAAAGACATTAAGCACCGATATTTTTATTTCTGGCTTAAATTAATAGCCTCTCTTCACTCCTTAAAATCAATTAGAATAAGATTGAGAGCCTCCAACAAATATAGGCTATTTATTATATAATTTTTTTTCTGAAAGAAGAGAAAGATCTGCTACTTACATAGCATCCAGATTTGTCCCGTTAAAAGCATGGCTTTGGATGCTGGTAAAACCATTATTGTAGAGTTTGCTGCAAGCAAAAAAAAATAATAATTAAAAAATTGGTGTATTTTGGGTTGCTTGAATACCTGAATACCTAACATCTTATGTATCATTTTTCTTGGCAACAGCACATTTAGGTATAGGTTAATTTTAGTCTCTTGAAGAAGCAGCAATTATAGTGCAAGGTCAAACAAGTGCCCAGCCGCACCTTGAGTGTAGCTGAGTCAAGAACACCATGTGGCACGTGTGCCATCTCTTACTTCTTTTTACAGCAAATACAGAACTAGACTAAAACACTTTGCTATAATGTTCCCTACCTCAAACTGAAAACAAGGAAAAAAAAAAATCTGCTAGGACTGATTAAGGAAGGCTAAAGGAACTAATACCTAGCAAAATAGGTATGATTTTACTATCAGGCCTGCCTGAATTTTTAGAAGTCATTCTTTTGCTCCCTTAGAGCAAAAGGTTTTGTTTTATAATTTCTTTAGAATTCATTATTTGGCATTCTAGTGTTTTTCCCTGTCTCAGGTCAGAACTCATTACAGTAATTTTCATTCCCCTCAGCCCTTTCTTGCGGCTCACTCTGACTGTGACTTGCATAACTGAACTTTATTTAACAATTTTCTTTCAAATATGACTCTTCTGACATTTGCCACCCATTAGTTTTTCACAGTATGTGCCACTTCTAGGTTGCAAAAAAGTTAGACACAGTTCTAACCATGCTGTAGCTTTACAGGAGAACTCTGCAAACTTTTCCCTTTGATTTTTCTCCAATATAACCATTCACTGGCATTAGGGTCATACAAAAGATAAACCGATTTGGTCAAGCCAGTTTAAAAAAAGAGGAGCAAGCCTGATTCAAATCACTGTCACAGTAAAGGATTTATGCAAACTAGATTATGGATCCTACATGTTTATGATGTTTCTCTGTTACAAACTACTAGACAGCAGGACAGGGATATTTTATTTTTTAAATATTTTACCATATGCTTGAGAGAGGTAATTGCCATGTGGCTGACTTAAACTAGAAGAACTTACAGAGTTAGAGATTCATTACAAAGCCCATGGAAAGCATTTGCAGGCACTGAAGTAATGAAAGGATTATCTGCAATTTCACTGAAAAAGGAGACAAAACATCACAATCAAACATCTGCCCAACAGAGCTTCTCCAGAACAGTTTTATTATTGATTGTTCCCTGCCTTGATAATAAATAAAAGTGTAGAATAACTTGTTTACCTATGTCTAAGGCCAGAAGTTACATGTGGGATGATTAAGAACGGAGCATATTCCAGCATCCAGGAAGTGAGCTTGTGAAGTAGGTGGATTTTATAGTCCTAGTGAGGTGTACCAGCCTGTGTGATTATAGTGGTTAACAGCACAGACAGGTTCCTTGTCTCATAAGCCATAGAATTAGCAAAGTAAATAATGCTCCAATGTCAATTGAGCTAGCCCAAGTGAGTTTAGAGCTGAGATCCTGCTCTCTAGCTAAGCTCAGATAAGACATCAGATGATACATTATTCAGGACAGAGGCATTTCACTTTACAGAACTGCATCTAGCACAAGTGAAATAACATTGTGTGATCTATCCTAATGATTCTTCTCAACCCTTGACCAAATAAGTGTTTTAATATCTGTCATTTTTTAAATACATTTTTAGTCCCACTCTGCAGTCTTAATAAGCACTATGTATCTTCAGACCAAAACTCTGTTGTGAAAAAAGGGACAAAGAAAAACGAAAGAGGTTTACTACAACTAAACTGGAGGAAGGAGAGAAGAAAAAGCTGGTAGAAACAAAGGGCAGAGCAAAGTGTCTGATTGGCCCTTTTCTGCTTTTTCCAGAATCATATTAGTGTCTGGAAACCAAAATATTCTGCAACTTTTTCTTTTCTTCAGCTTGTGGATCAGATGTGGACAGACCATAACATCCATGGGCTGAGAAGTCCTAACAACTGCCCATGTGACAGCAACAATTTCATTCTTTTTCTGTGCTATATATGTGTAAACATACGTGCTAACACTGAACTGTACTACAACTATTTTCATTCCAAGTAGTTTTCCCCAATAGGTGGTTTCCACCACAAGTTATTTTGGTTCGACATTTTTTAGATTTGTTCACTTTTTTAAACAAATGTTTACTTGTAATTTGCTTGACCTCAAAGGACAATAGTGATATAATGAATGTTTTTTCCCCAGCTATACCTTATTCAACATGTAGGAACCTATTATTCTTCAAGAGCAGATTTTTTTTTTCTCAATCTTTCATTGAATAGCAATGTTTAGAAATAAGTCCCTTGAAAGTGCAGCTCTACTCTTTAAAAAGTCTTTAGCTTAAGACCCATTTTTATTTTTTGTTAGTGATCTTTATGAAAAATTTTCAAGGTAGAAGTAAAATAATGTTTTGTTATTCACCACTTAGAAAGTCACTGAGGTTTTTGGAAGCAAGGACACAGATGGTTGTATATACTGCTTCCGTATATACATTTCATCTAGCCTATTTAATTCTTGGTTCTCTCTACTTAGTAAGTGTAGTGTTTAATTTACAATCTAGTAGAGCTTAATCTAAGCTAAAGCCCTTTTGTTCTTTGAGGAACTCCCTAATAGCTCTTAAATTGCAGGTGCATCCCACTCAGAGCTCTGGCTGACTGGTTTCAATCTCAGGGGCCTACTGCCAAGGCAAACATAGCAGCTCCAGTTTATGGAGCATGAGTTAGCACAAGGTTTACCTCTAGTCTCAGAAGATCCTTGGGAGGGAATATCTCATTGCTCACTACAGGTCTAGACTCTTTAGCAAAATAACCAGCATTTCTACATTGCTCTAAGGTCCATCTTGCCAATGGCAGACCATGAATGCAGTGGGGACTGATCATTCTTGACTAAGAACACCCCTTAGCAGCACCAAAACAATGCCTGGAGTAGACTATCAGTCATGTCTTTGCAAGTCACCTTCTAGCATAATACTTCCAATTTTTAATAGCGTTTTACTTAGTCCATCCAGCAGTCAAGCCTCTTCCAGCTGAGCACTGCTGCAATATGAGATTGTTAATTCCTCTCTAGGACTACTAAGTAGTGTCCAAGATACTTTTACCTTCAAGTCTTCATCTGAGCTGCTCTTCCTTTTTGGCTTAATTACAACCCAGAATTTGAACTTAAGTTGCAGGTTAGGGCACAAAGATGAATGTCATCTTTGCTTTCTGAACACCAAGAAACACCTGGGGTTTTTTTTAATAGCAGAACTCTTTGTTTCTGAAATACCTTTAAAGATAATAGTGGGAGACCCCCCCGTCCCCATTTGTGTTCCCATTCTCGTCCTCCAATAAATTGTTCTGCAATTTGCTTCAAGCCATATTAAAAAAAAAGGGGGGGGTGTATGTCTTTATATCAGTTACAGTAAATGGGTTTTAAGGTGTGAGAAAGGAAGGCAATCTTATTGTTATGTAGGAGTGCCTCATGAACAAACCAGATTAAATTAGCAAAGCTTGCTAGTAGGAAAATTCTTTCCAGCCAAGGAAAGATGGCTCCACCTAGGAAGTCTAGCTTAAAAGTAGGCAATTATCAGTCCTGGTGCTTTGGTTCTTCAGTGGGACTATAGATTCGTACTTGAAATGTGACTCTACAAGTAAGGTTGGGCAAGGGCATTTAGGCAAAATGTGTGTTCATAGAAGCTTATGCTGTCAATCTAAAAGAGCATGCATCTCATTCTACTACTATGAAAAAAAGGGTGAGTGTCAGAAGGGAAATGGTTAATCCTCTTTCTTAAAGACACACTGTGCTAGCCTGAGCTGGCCTCACTACTAAGGCTGTCATGAAACCATGGTGCTTCTGGTCTAGCAACTTAAAAGCTCTGCTTCATTTCTCAGCTTTGGCAATTTGCTTTCTAAGCTCCTTTTCTGTTTTCTTTATAAAAAAAAATAATTGTATGAAGCAACACATTTTGGATAAAATTAAGCCTTCACCAAAATATTCCTAAAAATGTAAGCTCAGCCAACACTGAGCTTTTTAGAGGTAATGATAAACAATTGTTCTCAAGATTGTCTCTTGCTCTTGAGTCTTCTGTGACAGGGTAGAGTCAGAAGAAAGGCAGATAGCCAATGGAGGTTATGATTCAACAGTATAGGAGCTCAATGAAGAGTAGTATCAGAAAATGTGCAGTATAAGCCCACCATGCCACCGCAAATTTGTTAGAAGAATGTTGATAGGATGACTACATGTTAGCAGGCTGTATGTCAGCTCAGGTCCTGTGTGTCACACTATTCTAATATCAGACTAACTCAGGTATTGCACAGCCGTTACAAAAAAAACCCCACAAAACCAAAACAAAAGCAAAAGGCCTGTAGAAGTCGTGTATCATGTGCTTCGTCTAATTCAAGAGAAACGCACTTGTGTGTCCCTGTCTCTCACTCAGGTCAAAGGTATCATGCTGGGTGACCTGACATCTTCCAGACTTGGTACTATAGATCATCAAAATATAGCTTGAGGAAAAGTGCTTTGTGAGACTTATTTGATATTCTTCTCCAAAACAGAAGCCTTCACTACAGGTTTTCTTGAGATCTGAGGCTAGCAGTATTCTAACCAGCTGCAAGGACAGATACTTACAGTAAGAAGTTAACATCAGATGAGTAGATTTTGGTGACGTCTGGAAATGCTTTGAGTCCAGTATTAAAAATACCACTGAAAGAAGAAACAGAAAGAGTTACAAGTACTGGATCACTGAACAACAACAAACAATGTGTTTAAAGCATTCAACAGTACAGGGTGGTTATTTCATCCTCTCTATTGTCAATCAATTTATTTATAATCAACTGTCCAAAATATAAGGATGCAAGAACAATTTAAAAAAATCAAATACCAGATTTATGATAAATTATAGAATCTGAGAAATGGGAACACAGAATAATAAGACAGCTAAGCAGATCTGCAGAGGGAAGTAGCTTGTGAGGTGGATAGGGAGAAACAAAATTGTAGCCCTGGATTCACTTCAGAGATTAAGGCTGATTCAGACAATAGACTGGGACCCCCAAATCCTCTATCTTTCATTGAGGCTAAGAGCTGTTCAAACAGCTCCAAAAAGGGAAACTGTCTTCAAATCTGTATACAGTTAATGTCCCTTATTTCTGAACTCCTTTAGAGTGGAAATAGCTTAAGAAAATATAGTTCTCAATTTTCAAAACTATTTTCCTGAAATTAAATTGTTTTGACTAGTTTCTTTTTATTGCTTTCAGATCTAGGAAAAATCTGGAAAAAAAGAAAAAAAAAAAAATCTTTCCTCCCTGCCACTACCACCACCACCACATGTAAACAGATCCCTTTCTAGAGTCTTCTAAACATTAATGAAAATCACAGAAGTTATTCTCTTTCTCATATCTCTTTCCTATGATATAGTTTTAGTGCTGCTCTTTAGAAACTTCATGGGAATACAGAGAATTATTCCGGGTTTCTTTCTGCCATAGAGGTCATATGAAATCAGGTGTCTATAGATGGGCTTCTCACATTTAGCTGACAGGTATGCTCTAAAACCCTGTGTAAATATCTAGTAAATATAAAAGATGTGTATATTTCTGTTGTGTCCCTTCTTCCCACTATTCTCTACAAAAATATAATAAGACAGCACTTATCTGTCACTTATCCACAGCACTTACAAGAAGAAAGCTAGCTGTGGAATTTTGCCAAGGAAACATTAGTGTATTCCACACATTTAATGAATAAGAATGGCAAAATTACTGATGCCTTTGTGAACATGTTTTCCTTTCTTGCAAATGTAGTCAAAGTTCTAACCCCTACACTAGCTGGCTGTCATTAAAATAAAGCAACAGGGAAAAATATTCCAATCAGTTCCAAAATGAAATGCAAAGAAACAAAACTCCTATAGTGTAATGAGTCATCTGTGAGGTTTAAGTGCCAACTTGTTACAGGTGCTAAATACTTACAGGTATTTCAAAAGTGGGAGGTCCTTAAAGGCATCTGGATCTATGTAATCCAAGTTTCTAAGATTTCGAATTTCACTGTAAAAAAGGGAGGAACATTACTACATTAATCATTAATACTTAATTATTTATCATAACAGAAATTAGTAATGTTAAAATGAAATTTCAGGGACTCAGTTCCTGCAATGAGCTTTTATACTGGCCAGCACCAGCTCAAGACCACTGTGCGTTCTGAGCAATCTTACAATGTTGAATTATCATCTGGATAGGTGTGGTCCTGACAACTGGCTAGTTTAAACAAGGAGGGAAGAAGCACCCGAGATTTGATTATGGATCCCTCATCTGCATGGTCCTAAAATCAAAGCAATAGCCTGTGGTAATGGCTATTTGAACATGGTGAGAGTTTTGTGTCTGAAAAGTTGAACAAAAAGAAGAAAAATTAAGCAAAACTTTCAGTATTGATGTATAATAATCCTATCAATTTACAACCATCTATTTAGCTTCTAATTTTATGTGCTGTTTTTCTGGTTACTTCCCTCATGTCTTTAACAGTATTTTGTATTATTTTTCTGCCTCTTTTACAGAGCTCATCAGTGGATCCAAGAGATGGCTCAGGTCACTTAAGTTAACTCCATTCTGAGTCTTGAAATGGACACACCATGCACTATATAGTGATGTCCAGCAGTGCAGAGGATAGCGTGCCTCTTTGCTTTATACTGACGCAAAATGTAACATAGACTTCATTCCTTATATCTTCTGTCCACAGTTATATGTCTAAATACTTCTATCCAGGTGACAGCTTGGTCTGCAGATGGCTTTTTAGACTGCACACGAAGAACCAGCTTGACACTGATCATGGCTATGGCCATGCTGGGTGCTTCCTATAAGTGTGTTCGTGGGGCTGCTGCTCCTCCAGTCATCATGATCATTGCTTGGCATCATGACTCTTCCTCATTTTTCTGAAATGTTTGTCTGTGTCCTTAATACACTTTTCCTCAATCTTTCTCATTCCTCCTTATTTCAGCAGATTTCTTTCCTTTCTATCCCTAATGACAGACAGCAGTCTGGCTGCACCAACCAGGCCATGCCAGAATTCCCTGTCTAGACTCAGTAGACCTACCAAATTTTCATCTTTTATGAAAAAACCCACACATACCTGTCCCCATCACATGCACACTTTTCCTTTCCTGGCCTCTTTACTGTCTCCAGAAGGGGACAGCCCTTTTCCCATGTTTGCTTCTATTTCTTTACCTTAACCCAGCTCTGGATACTGGTCTTACAACTGCTGGAACAACTCTCAGCATTTCTTAATATAGAAACCATATAGAAAGAATGGTGCCCGTCTTCCTCCTGCAACTAGCTGTGGAGCAGCAGGCTGAGGGAAGCACTTCTTGGTAGTTATATTGAAAAATTTGATGAAAACAACAGGTATAGATAGCATGATGGTGCAGTTGTGTGGGTAATGTTCTGGTCTCAAGTTAGTCCAAGAAGTGGTGCTACAAGGCAGAGACTTAATGGGCAGAAACCAGTAGTATTTAATTTACCATGCCCTAACAGTGACAAGTAACCTACACAATATAGGTATCAGGAAGTTGGTTTTTAAGGATACCTCTGCAACTGGAATAATTTTTACAGGATAAAAATCAACTCAGCCAAGCTGTACGAGAAGTAAAAGTGGGAAAAAGAGACATAAGACAGTAGATAAATCAGTATGTAGATACAGGTACCGAGACTTCATCCTCTCTATATACTGTTGTACTAACAAAACTGTTCTGCTCCACGTTTCAACTCTTCAGTTTTTACTCCCTTTACTCCAGCATTGCATAGACAAGCACTTACCTTTTACTTGCTTATTAAACTGATGTAATTAATAGCTATACTACTGCTATTACAGTACTGTATTCAAATAGTCTTTATATCTGTCAGCTTTGAACAGTACTGTTTCTGTATTTAAAAGAAATTGTCAGTATCAGTCTCTTGCTTCTTTCAAATTATTTTATTAGTTATGTATCTATCACACTCCCAGCTGTGGAATTTGCTCCACAAACTTCAACTGACAAATTTTTTTTTCCCATCACTGACTGCAATGTCTACATTTAGCTTGTACCCAGGGCTAAACTATAACAGTCTCACCCAACAACTACTCACCAGCCAGGGAGGGGAAAAAAAAAAAAAAAAAAGAGCAGACCTGTGGGTAGAAGTGAAACAGATTTAATGAAACACCACCAATACCAACAGAGATATACAGCTATACTTAGCCAAATGATTATCCAGTCATCACAATCAACCAGAGTACAGTCCTCATAAGAAGCCAGAAGAAGAACCCCACACCAGCTCTTTCTCCTCAGCAAACCTCCCCCCTTTCTAATGACCGTGACATTCTGGTATGGGCTACACCTGTAGCTAACTCAGCTCAGCTGCCCTGGCTGACTTGAAACTGCTAATGTCATGGCTGGCCTAGGATTCTGTCCCAGCCAAAACAGGACAACATTTAAAATGCTGGACTCATTAGCTTACTAGCCAGATATTCCTTTTCTGTGGATCAAACATATTCTAGAGGAAAACAGCCTTCAGATCAACCTTCAGCCTGGAAATGGATAATGCATTGGAGTACCATAGAGTCATCCATCTATTGTTCATAGTATCCTGTGTAAATGATTTGGTTGAGGGTACTGAAAATAACAATTCAAAATCCACAGATGGTACTAAAATTTGAAGCACAAAATAATGCAATGAGATTCAATCAGATTTTGCTTTATTAAGTAACTGGGCCATGAGGAGGGCATGTGCTGTTTAACAAAGGCAAATGAAAAACTAATTAATCTGAGAATAAAAGATTTAAAATGGCCAGATGAGACAGCACAGCACTCAGAAAACAGTTTAAATAATGTGAGTGAGGAAATCAGTATGATTCAACAGAACATTGAGAAAAAGTTGATGTCCCTGCTGTTTGATTTCCTTGAATTGGTAATGCTGGGATTATGAAAGAAGCATACTTTAATATATACTGTATATATATTTATGAAGGGATTGCGAGCAGCCCTGTGAGGAAGGACTTGGGGGTACTGGTGGACAATAAGCTGGACATGAGCTGGCAATGGATGCTAACAGCCCAGAAGGCAAACCATATCCTGGGCTGCATCAAAAGAAGCATGGCCAGCAGGTTGAGGGAGGTGATTCTCCCCCTCTACTCTGCTCTTGGGAGACCCAACCTACAGTACTGTGTTCAGCTCTGGACTCCTCAGCACAGGAAAGACATGGACCTGCTTGAGTAGGTCCAGAGAAGGGCCACGAAGATGATCAGGGGGCTGGAGCACCTCCTTTATGACAAAAGGCTGTGAGAGCTGGAGTTATTCAGCCTGGAGAAGAGAAGGCTCTGAGGAGACATTATTGCAGCCTTTTGGTACTTCAAGGTGGCTTATAAGAAAGATGGGGGCAATCTTTTTAGCAGTGCCTGCTGTGATAGGACAAGGAGTAATGGTTTTAAACTGAAAGAGGGCAGATTTAGACTAGATAAAAGGAAGAAATTTTTACAGTGAGGATGGTGAAACACTGCAACAGGCTGCCCAGAGAGGTGATAGAAGCCCCATCCCTGGAAACATTCAAGGTCAGGTTGGATGGGGCTCTGAGCAACCTAATCTAGATAAAGATGTTCCTGCTCTCTGCAGGGGGGTTGGACTAGACGACTTCTAAAGGTCCCTTCCAAGTGTTTTCTGATTCTATGATTCTATTTGCATTTCATCCTACACTTTGTATTACAGAGGTTTCTTAAAGCCCAAAAGGAAGAAAAGGGCCCATTGTGATAGGCACTACAGAAATCAACAGCAGACAGCCAGTTGCTTAGAAGTCTCTAATCAAAATAGGTGAGAAAGAGGATGAGAAGTATAAAAAGGTAAAAGGTGATTTGACCAAAGTGAATGCTATGCTTAAGAAAAAAAATCAGGAGAAAAATCCAGATTTTCCTACTTCTAGATCAGTCAAACGTGCCTCTTGCACTTGACTGGCTGAGTATGTGGCCTCTCATTTCATATGCATGAAAAAGAGAAAGTTTTTCAAATTCAGTTCCATTCATGAACTATGCTGCTGTCCTTGTTTTGCACACTCACAATCATTAATCTCAACGTTCTTGAAGGAATCCCTCCCTAAAATCACAGAATTAAAGGATATCTATAGCTCCATCAATATTGGAGCCTATGAAATTAAGCCCATAAGGAGAAAATATATTTGAATAGTTCCGATCTCATCAGTTAACAGGGTAGTGATACACAAACTCGATTTCTTTTACATTAATCAATCATGAGTAATACACTCAAAGGTGCCTCAATGTTATATGATAGTAATTTTCAAATTGTAATCAAAAGACTGCTGTGGTGTAAGGATTACTTCCAAAGCATCCAAAAAACTAAGAAAGGCAAGTTGATTATTGGTAGATTCATTGGACAGGGTTTGCACTTTTTCCAGTAAGCTTTTCTGAATTGGTGAATTGAAAAGATTGAAACTCATTGATTTGGAAAGTTAAGGTTCCTTTGAAAAGCAGCTCTAGGAAAAGTATTAGTAGTTTTAGCTGCCTAAAATGCAGATAAAGCCAAAGAGTATACTTTAAAATGTCTAGGAGGCTAGTTCCCAGGTATCTAAGTATCTATGAGAGCTGATTTTAAGTGACTTTTGGAATGGAACTTTGACACAGTCTATAAATAAAACTTAATCTTAGCATACAGAGCTTAAATTTTGCATCCAACAGCAATGTAACAATTCTGAGTCCTTCTGGGAATGAAGTGTTTTAAGGATACAAAAAAACCTAAGATGGTTAATAGGCATCTTTGTTGACCATTGATGCAGATAGGCAAAAGGTGCCCTGAACAAACATTTCATTTTGCAGTCCTAACTAAAATTACTTAGATATGCTCATAAGAAAGAAAGGTGTCGCTACCTACCCACAAGATAAAAGAATTATTTGTGGAATATTTACAAAATTATTCAAAGTTACTTTATAAGATATTCAGCTTCTGCTTTATTTTTAAAAGTACATAAAGCAATTAAGACTTGGCTTATTTGTGCTTTATAGACAATCAATATTTTAAATTTTATTTCTGGCACTCAGACTAGTGATTTAAAATGTACTACGTTCACAATCAAACCACCACCTGACTGTCTGTCCTGGGTTACAGTGTAAAATGTG